CCTACGCAAAGACGTTCCAGGAACCGGCCGAGTTTGAGCTTGAAGCGCGCTGTCCAAGATCAGATTGGAGAGGAAGTTATATTCCTCCAACGGTGGAAGCCCTTCTACCGACGACACGGCGGTCTTCGCGGTCTTGAACGTTGTCCAATCGATATTACGGGTGAGGTCGTACGCGACGTTAACGGATTCCGACGGATTGAATCCACTGGCAATCGAAATTTTGATCGGCAAGTGATCACTACCGTGGGGATCCTGGATCACATTCCACGTGCAATCCAACGATAATGAGTTAGAGCAAAGTGTGAGGTCTAATTTACTTCCATTCGAAGATGGTCCAGCCAAACGTGTTACTTCTCCATTGTTAAGAATTGTCATATTGAAGTTATCACAGAGGTCATATATAAAAGTAGAACGGTTGTCATCATACAGTTCCCCCCAGCCTGTACCGTGGGAATTGAAATCTCCCATGATCAACCGTGGAGCAGGAAGTACCGAACATATATCTGAAAGTTGTTTTCGACTAACAACGGCTCTAGGAGGAATATAAACAGAAGCAATACAAAGGCTCTTACCTTTGAAAATAGCCTGACATGCGACAACTTCAATACCTGGAAATTGTGGAAGATTCACTCTATAGAAGGAATGGCATTTTTTGATCCCCAAAAGTACCCCTCCTCCACGCGAATCCTCACGATCCAGTCGAATAATGTTAAAATCATAAAAAGGAAGATCAATATCTGAAGAGAGCCAAGTTTCACAAAGAGCAAATGCATCACAATCATTATTGTGAACTTAAAACTTAAAAGAGTCTAATTTAGGAATAAGACTTGTCAGTCCGATTAAAGAGGCTGAATTTATAAAGATACGACAAGTCGTAGGAAAAGTTATTTTAATCGAGCAGAAAACCTGTCAAATGGATAAGATGATCACCCAATAGAGATTTTTACGACCGGTTGTATTGATGCGATATGTGAGAGCGTATTAGTGAAAATTTGAAGGAAATACATAACAAATCGCTGTGAAGCTCATTTTGACAGATCTAATTTCATACATTTTTGAGGTTAGCCAGAGGAAAATAATAAACAATTGTAAACGGTGATACACCCGCTTAAACGTCACTAATCTCTATTCAGTCTCTTTTAGTCCAATGATTGGATCTCTCGGCACTGCCGGCACAGCTGCGGCACACTTGAGGTACACTGAGAAAAATGTTGGCACAAAATAAGGGTGTAGAATGACCACCCCATGACCTTGGCTGAATTATAATGATTGATCATCGCAATGCCGAGAACCAGCCATGTCAAAATACATCGACACGCATTTTGCAGCGTTGGGATTTTGTCAGTTAATAATGAAAAACTGGATGAATTCTAGAAAAACTGGAAAATTTTAAACTTTAACTGTTCAACTGGGTACGTTCAAAAAAACTGGAAGAATCCAGTTTAAACTGGAATGTTTGCATCACTACTTCCACTTCGTGGGTAATCAAAAACTTTTTTTAATTGTATGTACGCCTTCGTGAGTGTTAAAAACGTCTAATAGGTCAGTTGATAACTTAAAAGTTTTAATGAAATTGTGCTCTTGGCTTTCTAACTGTGACTCAATTTTTTTGCCCATCTTTGCTTATTGAATGGTGTTCGTCGCAAAATTCAATCCACCACCCAAAATTCTGTCCGATTGAGCCCAAATTTAGCATATGTCTTTTTTTTCGAGGCATTTTGTATATGTTGTATCCGACGGTAACTTTTTCCCCATACATTTAATTGGCACCCTAATATTCAGTTATGGAATATGGATATGGAAGTTAACACCCAATCACCAAATCATCAAATCATCAATATAACACACCGGACGATCGAGCACCTGCGATTCGCTGACGCTGCACCACACCCGAGGCAATCAACCCGTGAGAAATTCAAGCCGTTGCCAACGAGTAGCTACTGCAGTTTGCATTTTGTACTTTGATCATAATTGAAAAAAAGTAGAAGGGTCTGTACCTACGGGCACGAACGGAAGCTTGACGTAGGACCGCTAGTGGACGGAATAAATGTGAAGAGCTTTTCGTTCTTTTCATTGATCAATTATCTATTATCTCAGCTCTTTCCGTTTTGAATTGTAGGCGTACCAAATTTGTGGTTATCTTTTTCAAAGAGAAAGTTGATTTAGAGAATCAATCAAAATCACATGCAGCCCTGCTTCCAAGTTTGGTTACAAGATTACAACTCTAGAGAGCATTTTGTGTGGTCGTTGGGGGCTTTTGGTTCTGAATATGGACAAACAGGCACAGATAAATTCTATTCCAACTCTTTACTGATATAAGCTTGATGGCCCTGAAAAGAGCCGTTTTATTGTACAGGACATCCATGGCCACTTACGATTGGCGTGTTTAGTGTAGGTGACAGCACCACGGACCTCATTTTCCAGGAACACCTTCAGCACACCTCGTAAATCAGACCGGAGATACGTTTGTCACCGCCACGGCGAGCCAGACGACGGATGATGGTTATCTTGAAGAACTTTGCGATGATGCTTGGCACCTCCTTTACCAGACCTTTCCTCCGTTGCCACGACCAGTCAATTGTTGCTTGTTGGGTGTGACGGAGTGGACTAGCCACCACCTTCCTACTGCTGCTATTGCTGCTCACCACGCCGTCCGAAGCGAAAATGAGCTAATGCCATACAGCAGGGCTTTTTTATATCTCTTCAGGTTAAAGCAGAATGATGTGCAACCAAGTGGTATAAAAGCTACAAAGACTCCTCCCATTACTGGCTCTTTTCCTTTTGCGTACACGGCGAATGAGAACGACCCAAATTTGAGTTTAGTTCACTCATAATCGCCAAAAGTGCAGAAACTCAGCGATGAGTAAATTTGTCTCTTTGTTTCCTGTGGAAAACCTAAAAAATCTGCCACAAAATGAGGAAAATGACGAAAATTTTATTCAGTCTCGGAGTAGTACCAATAGACTGAGTGAATCCAATCTTTACTTTTCTCAAATTCAGGAATTTTTCCCTGGAAAACCCTGGGAAAACCTTGGAAAACATTAGGCAAATTTACTCATCGCTGAGTTCCTGCACTTTATTTCTTATTTCTGAGATAACTAAACTCAACTTGGGTCGTTCTTATTTGCCGTCATATCACCTTGAAAGGTATCGGCGCCGGTGGTTAGCGTGATTACTTCTCACCCCAGCAGGCCTGGGTCCAATCTCAGTCGGCGCCACTTGCATGTTCTAAGGCATAACATCTCTAATCACGCCTTCCTTCGGGAAGTAAAGCCGTTTGTCCCCTGTTTATTTGATGGGTCGATTGGTAGGGTCCAGGTGAGGGAGCTGCCTCCCTGGCGTCGGTAGCATTGGAGCTCAGTACAGAAAACAAATTTCGCGTCACTTTTCAATAGGTCCTATCTACATTGATCGATTCTCTTCATCGACACTCTCTTTCGTAAATAACTCGGCTTCACAAATGTTTCCTGCCGTCTTCGTCGAATTAGATGCTACATTGTTCCTTCTTCCATCTAAAATATCCGGCCGTGGCGATTCAAAGTTGATCAAGGTTGATCAAAATAATTTGTACCCCTGCTTCCAGGACAAACAGACAGAAGAATTCTATTACTACTCTTTACTGTAATAAGCTTGGTGGCCCTGAAAAGAGCCGTTTTGTTGCCAAAGTAGGTGATGATTTAACATCGGAAACCAAACAGAGTGCGTCTCTGTCACTTCAAAACGTAGATGACATCCATGGCCGCTTACGCTTGGCGTGTTTAGTGTAGGTGACAGCATCATGGATCTCATTTTCAGGAACACCTTCAGCACACCTCGTAAATCAGACCGGAGATACGTCAGACACCGCCACGGCGAGCCAGACGACGGATGGTAGTTATCTCGAAGAATTTGCGTTTGGTTCTGAATATGGCGATGAGTGTGCAAAATATTACGCAATCCCATCCTCCCTATTCGCACGCGCCCGAGGATCGGAGGCGAATGCCACTTCGACTTGTTTCGTCTACTTACTACTCTCTGACGACTGTGCTGGGGAAGCAGCATATGCATGTAGGTAATTGGTGGATTTGTTAGTTAATTCTACGCTTTTGGACAATGCTGGACATTTACTACTTTTTCAATAGTTTCTTGTTGAAAATCAACATTCGGAGGCTTTGTTATCGATGCGTAGCCATATTTTTGATCGATTGGTGATAAAATTATTGAAATTGGACCAGGGGCAGCTGAGTTATTAACGTTCAAAATCTTTCTTAATTTGTTACATGTTCCATTTTCGGTTTTCACAAAGTGTACCCCCATATAGAAATCAAAGACGTAGTCCTACGTCAAAAATTATTTCTCACTTATGTTCCGACCGTCAACGAGTTCGCGTTCTTTTTTAAAAATCCGAAGAGACCCTTCAGGTCTTAACATGGATTTTTCTCTGGAGGTAAATTTAGATACTTTGTATGGGACGATCAGTTTGGATTTTTCATCGATTATCGATAGTTGCTAGTGAACAAGTGATTGCAATTGTCCATTATACTCACTGAAGCAAATTTGTAATAGCAATCATATTTTTCATTAGCCCCACATTGCACTGTGTAATGACACGGAATTAATTAAAAAATCTTTTACTTGAACAAATTGACCCGGCACGTTGCGCCGTATAATAAATTGATCCATTTCGGGTCAAACGGATTGCGCTTGACCCCCCGCTGTGTGTCGTAGAGTTATCTCAACTGCTATTCAGCAATGCTTCGGCCGGTCGGTAAATCGACCAAGCTCGGCAGTAAGAAAAAGCTTAATATGACATCAACCAATGATCATCGCGGGCTCGACCTAGCCTAGCTATACTCAGTAGGTACCTAAATACTTGAATATAGAGTGGTTGAAGCAGCACTCAACGGGGAACGAAAGGGTAGCGAATAACGTGATAAGCTTATGGCACTCGCGTAGACTGATCTCGGGATCGCTTATAGCAATGTGATTTGTCGTCTGCCTGCGTCGGTCGGAGACACATTCTAGGTAGGCATGTGGAAACCGGGTTCAGTTTGAATTTGAGTCGCGACTGGCAAAGGTGGCCTCGCACAGAGGTAGAAAATGCAGTTTTATTGTGGAATTTCGTACGTGTTACTGCTAGTGCTCGGAAGGGCCTTTGCTTCCAACGGTGATGGTTCAACTTCGAACATAATTCCTCCCATCTACCGGTATGACGATTTCGACAAGTGTCGCCAGGTAAACTCCCCTGGGGTGTTTTGCTATGTTCGAGTGGTTCTGAAGTCGGACGTGGATCCTATTGTAAGTGTGTAATTAAGTGGAAGACTGGGTTGTTGTGGAACTGATGGTATGATTTCGAGTCTAGGATTCAGATCGGATTGTGACGAATTTTCGACGGAACCAGCTGGATTGGGGAGTTTGCGTGGCGGATTGCGAGAGAGAGCTGGCGGCGCTGGGCGAGAATGATCGGCAGCGGTTGTTTCAAGCGCAGTTTGAAATCAATCATACGGTAAGTTATTGCTTTTGTAATTGTAATTCATTTAGTCTACGATACCCTGCTGGTAGAACCTTTTATCAGGTCAAGGAAAAATACAGGGAAATATACATTTGCACCTATACATTCCTCGTACATCGAGGCACAACGGGACAGAATGGGACTTTTGTTGGACAAAAACCGTTCCACTCCATCCCATCCATCTTTCTAAGGCTCTGAACCATTTGGTGGATTATTTTAACTTGTGGTTAAAATTTGACAGATGGAAAGCTATCGATTAACCCTGTTATCCGAGCGTGGTTATTTCTGACAGACAAGAAGTTAAATTTTGACAATCGTGGTTGAGTTTTTCTCGAAAACCGGTCGATCGACAGCACAGGGATTTTCGAACATTGAGAATAACTTTCGAAATGTCACTTTTAACCACGAGTTAAATTTAACTCGGCAAATGGTGCACAGCCTAAGGCTCTGAACCATTTGGTGGATTATTTTAACTTTTTTTTTTCAATCCACCAAATGGTTCAGAGTCTTAGTAGGCTGTGCACCATTCGAAAGTTATTCTCAATGTTCGAAAATCCCTGTGCTGTCGATCGACCGGTTTTCGAGAAGAACTCAACCACGATTGTCAAAATTTAACTTCTTGTCTGTCAGAAATAACCACGCTCGCATAGCAGGGTTAATCGATAGCTTTCCATCTGTCAAACTTTAACTTTTTTTTTTACTTTTAAAGCTTTTGTGATTTAATTTATCTTTGAGTGCAGGGTTAATTGATAACTTTCCATCTTTCACCTACACTCAAAGATAAATTAAATCACAAAAGCTTTAAAAGTATGCAGATTCCCGCTTCACCTTATTGAGTCCGAGCCATGATTACTTCGGCAGTAGTCATGCATGATTAAAATCGAAATAATCTTTCCAGTATTTAATTTTAGTATTTTTCAATACTGATTTATAATCAAAAGAGATTAAAATTCAATCAAAAATTATTAAAATAGAATCAAAAATTATTAAAATTTATTCAAAAAAAGATATTCTACATTCTAATACACCATGATTAAACTGGGATTAATATCATATGCTTATATTTTAGAAAGAGAGGATTAATTTTTAATCATTCGATATGATTAAACTGTGTTTAATGTCAAATTGATCAAATTTCAAGCAAAATGGGAATAGTTCAATTTATCAGTGTGCTATCCGAGCGTGGTTGCTTCTGACAGACAAGAAGTTAAATTTTGACAACCTTGGCTAAGTTCTTCTCGAAAACCTATCGATCGACAGCACAGGGATTTTCGAACATAGAAAATAACTTTCGACATGTCTCTTTTAACCCCGAGTTAAATTTAACTTGGCAAATGGTTCACAGCCTTAGAGGTTTGATATCCACGGAATATAACGCAGACGATTCCCTGGATATTTTTCAATTTGAATGGAGCTCTTTTATCCATTGCAATCGATGTTATGAAAATTAACTACAATGAGATTTGAGCCGGGACATTTTGGAGCATCAATCATGTGCCTGCAGGCCAGTGACAAGGCCTATACCAACAGCAGTGTTTGACAGTAGGCAGCATGTCCCGGGCTCAAATCATTTATTTTGCTGTGCTGGGCCCGCTGTCACTGTATAACATGTTGCCTAAGCGCCTGCCACTGGGCTGTGTGCCTGAGCTCCATGGACTATGAATGTTTTGGAAACCGGCTTATTTAAGCACATGACGTCCTAGCTTAAGGTGAAAGTTAATGCTTTTCCGTTGATACTGTCTCCATACCCGTTCAAACCACACCTAAATTCAAAATGCACAAATACCAACAAGCATTGCAAATTAGCTAAATGGGACGTATTGAAATTTTCACCATATTCGTAAATACAATACTATTGTATAACTATAATAATTCTACTATCGAAATGACAACTTCAAATCCAAGATTCCAAGTTCAGGGAAGGCCTGCCGAAGAACAGGGAATTCCTACTGAAGTTCAGGGAAGTCTTACCAACAATCAATACGAAACTAACGATTTTAAATTGGCTCACCACTTTAGTAGCCTCTTGGTCCCAAGCAAACGATTAACGTACCCTATTCTAGTTGAAATTCTATTACTACACTATGTTTGTTTTGATTCGCTATGAAAGTTTGACAGATAACATCAGGGGTGTGTGGATTCATGCAGAACATGCAGGGGTGAGTGAAATAGCTTGGGACTACTTGGGACCGTTGTTCTGGTACTGAGTGAGCCAAAAATAATAATGATTTTCTTCGGGACCCAGTGGTCTTAGAGTTACCTCTATGGTCTTACCGTAGTTCAGGGAAGTTCTGCCGAACTTCAGGTAAGTTCTGTCGAATTTCAGAAAAGTCCTGACAAAGTTCAAGGAAGTCATGCCAAAGCTCAGGGAAGTCCTTCCGAAGTTCAGGGAAGGCCTGCCGAAGTTCAGAGAAGTTTTTCCGAAGTTCAGAGAAGTTTTACCGAACTTCAGAAAAGTCCTGTCGAACTTCAGAGAAGTCCTGCCGACATGCTTGGCATACACAGTTTTGGTCACGAACTGCTCATTTGCTGATAACTTTGCACACAGTGGACGAAACAGAGTTCTTTTTGTAGCAGTAGATAGAATAGAGTTTTAGCAACAATCAATACGAAACTAACGATTTGAAATTGGCTCACTACTTGACTAGCCTATTGGTCCCAAGTAAATCAATTTCCGGACCCCATTCTAGTTGGAATTCTAGTACTACACTATGTTTGTTTTGATTCTCTATGAAAGGTTGACAGATAAAATGAGGGGTTCGTGGATTTTCCTATGTTTCGAGGACTGTGGTTTATTTTGCAAGCTGTGATATCGCAGCTCGAAATATCAAGCTTACAAAACTCACCAGCTGCAAATCTCAACAAACTGTGGTGAGATTGAGTTTCATGATTTTTGCTTTACACCCGAATGCAACCGAAACTTCCATAACGGCTAACAGCAGTCACTTCGTGTCTGCCATTGGTGAAGAGTAAAAATAGATAGCAAACTATACTTTCTCTTTCTAAGAAAACGATGTGCAGCGGAATCATTTTTGTGTCGAGTCAACTCTCAGCTTGATTTTTGCACGTTGCGAATAGTCTCGCAATATCAAAGGAGCTTGTAAAATCAATGTCAAGCATGACATTTTGTTCCAATATCACGCGTGATTTTGCGAGCGCATGAGAGCGAAAAAATATCAATTGATTTCTGATTTTGCCAACACTGCCTGAGAAGTTCAGAGAAGTTCTGCTGAAGTTCAGGGAAGTTTTGCCGAACTTCAGGGAAGTCCTGCCGAAGCTAAGGGAAGTCCTCCCATTTCAAATCTTGGAAATCAGGGAAGCCCTGATGAAGTTCAGGGAACTCCTGCCGAAGTTCAGGGAATTTCTGCCATTTCAATTCTTGGATGTTGGTATATTTCCATAATTGTGGATCCAAGATGGTGAATGATTTTCAAAATGGTGTATTTAAAATGACAAGTCTTTGATAAAATGTTCGATCTTTTATTATTATTATTATTATCTCTATTTAGGAGATTTTCAGTCGCAGGCTGGTTCATCTCCGTTGTTCGATCTTTCTAAATAAAATACTGTTGGATGCTTATAATAACTCCACTGTTGAAATTGGAAATTTCAATTCCAAAATGTCGGATGATTTTCCAAAGTTTAACAATTTCAACGGAATTGCTAGGAAAACGAAATCTAATGCTTGGGGTTGCGTTACAAAAAAATGGTTTGTATTGAAATAATGCATTTTACAGGTATATTCTGTTCAGAGGAAATGTTCCTAACAATACTTTGAAACGACCTATTGAAGTCAAATATTACTTTTCATACTAAATAGCGACCACTATACTCAAAGTTAGCGACCACTGTGATTTTGGTCCTAAAATTGAACTTAGAAAATGGTTTTCAGAAAAATTAAACCGTAAATAAATCTTGTAAAAAATGTCAGAGATAGCTATATTAGTTCTTAATTCTGAGCGTTGCGGTATTTTGCAAAAAAATCAATTAAATCAGTCATTATGAAACGAGCCACTTTCACCTTAACTTGGAAAAACTCATTAAATCAGGACTTTATTAAACATTCAAGTATTAATCCTAATGAATTTTGACTGAAGATAGGGAGAAAAATTAAATTAAGGCTGAAGAGATTTATAAAGAAGACAATAGCGAAATTTCAGATGGGGAATCTACAGAGGACGAGGGTAAGAGGGATAGGAAATATAGACATTGGAAAAGAAAAAAGTAATTACTTAAGGATGCAGTGGGCTGACTTACCGGTTTTCACGCTAGGTACATTATGAAATAAACTTCATCTTCGGAAATTTAAAAAAACGTATCCGTAGTTGGTTCGGGAGAGGCAGTTGTTCAGGAAAGCATGCGATCGTAGATTACGGTGCCAGGTATTGATAACGATACTACTCAGCAGTGTAGAACAGTCAATGTTTCCCTGAAGAAGATCACCGACGAAGCTCGCCATTGCTACGTTAAGTCTCGCATCCAAAAGCTCTAAGTTGATAAGCATACAGCGACTTTCATAGCTAGGCAGATTTCCAGCGAAAATGCTTAAAGTATACCGTTGAAAACTTTCGTTGAATAGCTTCAATACGCATGGTTTCATTTTGGTAGTATGGAGACCACACGACCGTCGAATACTCCAAAATAGGTCGCACCAACGAACAGTATAATGCTTTTAGGCAGTATACATCTTTGATTTTTTTTTTGCGATGCGGAATATGAACTCGAGTTGTGATGAAGCTTTGGATACTACGTATGCCACATGATCCTTGAAGCTGAGCTTAGTGACGATCAGTATTCCCTGATCCTTGATAGTCGATTCACGTTTCAAAGTTATGACCGTCAAGTTGTAGTCATGGTGATGAAGCAAACGCTTGCGGCCAAAGGAAATTACAGAGCATTTCGAGACATTCAGTGACATGCGGTTAATACGACACCACTCAACGAAGACTTCCAATTGTTGCTGCAAGAAAATGGCATCACTAGGATCTTTTATTACGAAGTAGAGTTTCAAGTCGTCCGCATACGATAGTTTAAGGCATTTCAGGATGGTATTGACGTCATTCATGTACAACAGAAACAGAAATGGCCCAAGATGGCTACCTTGGGGAACGCCGGATGTCACGGGGAAGGATGAAGAAACATAGTCTCCAATCTTGACAGACATGTTACGACCAGTCAGGTAGGAGTAGAGCCAAGTAAGCAGGCTTTCGCCAACACCTATCCTGTCGTATTTAGCCAACGCAATGTCATGGTTCATTTTGTCAAATGCTGCGGAGAGGTCTGTGATGATGGCATCTACTTGATGGCCACGTTCTACTTCATGAATGATGAACGAAGTGAACGTAACTAAATTGGTCGGCATGAAGCCATGCTGATCCGTCGAGATACAGTGTGCAGAACTTTGAACCAATTTTTCGAGTATAATCAACTCAAAAAGTTTGGAGGTAGCACTTAACGAAGCTATTCCACGGTAGTTTGAAACAGTCCTTTTGCAGCCTTTCTTGTGGATTGGGAACACGGAAGACTCTTTCCATCAAGGAGAGATTGAAAACGTTGGCTAGAAGTGTCGCGAGAGCAGTTAGGCAGCGTTTGAGGACTAACGACGGTACGCCATCTGGACCGGAACCCGTTGTAGTTTTAGCTGCTTCCCGGATGAAATAACCATTTCGCTGGTGATAGAAAATTGATGGCTGGAGAAGGTTGAGGGAGAGACGTTACTAGACGCAGCAATTACATCCTGAGTGCTGAGTCGTTCGTCGTTGAAAACACTGCTGAATTGTGTGCGAGCAACAATACCCACGATGGAGTCCACTTCCACTACGCCGTTCGTCATGCTTGAGGGTAGTCCGCTTTCCTTTCTTTGGGCATTCACATGGCGCCAAAAGTTCTTAGGATTTGATTTCAGACGACGCTGAAGCTGGTCTTGCTGTGCATGGTATAGTTGGTTGCTGAGTCGCTTGTAATCCGTGTTCGCTTTAGTCTAACATGCTTTCGTGGAATCGGTTCGGTATTTGCTTGTGCTTACGAAGAGCAGCCCTTATAATTTTTTTTCAATCACTTAAGCTCTGAATTCGACCAGGCAGGGTTTAACAGGTCCGCGAATGATTCACTTAGGTACGATTGATCGATTGCGTACAAAAGAATGTTGGATGTCGTCGATGCCGCGAGGTTAGAATCACAGTCAGGCAGTGTCTCTTCACAGTCAACATTTGAGAGAAAATCATTCATTTCGCTGAAGTTATCCTCGCCAAAGCTATAGAGGACGCTCTCTACAGTGTCTTTGAAATTACGATGAACGTTGAGCTTTATGCTCACCAGCAGAGGAGGATGATGCCTACAGTTTTTAACAAGCGCGAAGGGGACTGATATGATGGAACAATCAGTACACATTTCCTCACTTACAAAACAGAGATCGTGCATGCGGTTGTTATTGTTGGGGCCTCCCTTAGCTCAGTCGGTAAAGGCGCAGCTACAAAGCAAGACCATGCTGGAGGTGGCTGGGTTCAATTCCCGGTCCGGTCTAGGAATTTTTCGGGTTGGAAAATTTCTCGACTTCCCTGGGCATAGAAGTATGATTGGACTTGCCACACAATTATACCAATGCAAAAATGGTACAGGCATGGAAAGCTCTCAATTAATAACTGTGGAAGTGCATCTAGAACACTAAGTTGAGAGCACGCAATAAGCTAATATGTGATATGCAATAAGCTTGAAATGCGAAGAAGAAGAAGAAGTTGTTATGGTTTGGAATCCCATTCATCTGTTCGAGTCTTGCAGTGCAATAGGCATCCAGCAAATTACATGATGCTTGACCAATCGACCAAGGAAAGTGAAAACCACGAACATTGTTGAAGTCTCCCAGGATGATTAAGTTGTCATTGGTGCCCATGCCTGCGAAGGGGAGGGACTACCAGGGCACGCAATTGAAGCGAAATGGATGGGGAGAGAGGGAATTCCAACTCCCTGTCTTTAATATTTCGTGAATAGAAGGCACGCTCTTCTCCCCACTCACTGGGCATCCTCCTGTAGGATGGCTTGTTTTTTTTTACCGGTTGTATGATTCTGCTGTTGGAAGGATATTCTTAATCATCTACCCAATCCGTTCTTGGCCCTTGATACAAATGGTGGATTGAATACAATTAGAGGTTATTAAGCTTGATCAAGTCGAACAGCGAGGATAGCCCACAACTACTGACAGATGTCTTGCTACAATGGGTGGTAGTTTCATATCATCAATCACATATCATCAGAGCTCCCATTTCCCGGCGGTTCTTAAGACTTTGAAAAATATCCAGAGGTCTTTAAATCTCCGATCAGCTGTATATCGTTTAAATACTCTCCAATCAAATTTCCTTGTTGGAATGATGTCTGAAAGACGTCATTTGAATTTTTGAACAGGTGCAGATCTTCATAACATTACTTCATCAATTTGAAAAGTCTTGAATAATATCCAGAGAACTTTATTGATATCTAATCGAAAATCCGTAATATCAACAAAGTTATCTAACATTTCACGACACTTCCTGAACATATACGAAGATTCCTGCACTTTCAAGAAGTTTCTTGAATTTAAACTCAGCTCCATAAACTCAAAGCCTTTATAAAATTCCCTGAATATGTGGAATGTCCGACGAACTCCTGGAATTTTCCGTCAACTTCTTCGCATATGCAGATCATGAAGATTATGGTGGATGATTTCTCTCATGAATGTTGTTGTAAAAACTATTTTGCCGTGCTTTAAGATTACCTAGAGATTACATACTAACTGGTAAAGGTAATGCACACCCGTGAACGTAAAAAATGGTTAGAAAATAATAGCGAGAGAGAGAGCAATGGAAGTCAAGATAGATGTCGGCAACATATAGAAGTTCCACCGGAAGGATTAAGCATTTTACAAGATTCCACTCGCCAATCTAAGGAAGGACTCCAAAAACTGCAAATACTGAGACTTTTCATCAGTCGAGACTAGCTTCATAACTTTCAACCATCTTAACAATGCATTTCAATGATTTTTCGATCAACTATGAATGATGGCCATCTCACGACCTGGTTTTGTTCTAATTTCCGTCCTACTAAGCACAACTTCCGCTTTACCTCTTTTTTTAACTGGTTTGAAAAAAAGGAATATTTCTGTCACAGATGACTTCTAAATTGATTTATCTTTTCATTTGGATTTGATAAAGAGTCAAAAAATTGTTGAGATATTGTTTAAAATCTAAAACTGCTTCTTGATTCTAAATTCGTCCTACGAGTTTCCATTCCGTCCAAACGCATTGAAACGCCATTATATTTTCTTCGTCCTACGGATAAACGTAGAAAAAGGGGATGCGCTAGGAGCGCTTCTTTTGTTTTGAGAACAATGAGCGTAAATATTCATAAAATGCGCTCTAATAGGATTTATGTTGTAGCTACGGGGCTGTTCATAAACTACGTAGACAGTTTAGGGGGGGGGGGGGTTGAGAATTATCCACGGTCCATACAAATTTTAAAATTTTTGTATGGACAATTGTCTACGCAGGGGGAGGGGGGGGGGGTTTCAAAATTCAAAAAAAAAAAACTGTCTACGTAGTTTATGAACAGACCCTAATGAACTAACACATCGGAACAAACTTATAGTTGATTTGTGCACGGTCAAATCATTGATATTATTGATCTTTTCTGATCGATAGAACGGAAATGGGCGATTACGACGAAGTAGCGCTCTACCCTACCATCTAGATACACGACTAAAAAAATTGATTTAAATGTTCACGGTTTGTTTCACTGCTAGATCGTATTTTTCACCAGTGCTTCTAGTACAATAACCATGTACAAAAAATGATGTCTGTATTCAATACATTCTATAAATCCGAGGATAAATCAGAACAAATAGCAAACGAAGGTAATAGATATATTTGTGAATGTTCTGGATCCAAATTCTGCTACAGATATTCAAGAAAGATTTAAAGGGGTTAAAGGTTCTCAAATTAAAAATCCCGGCATGTGAAATAAAGGAATTTCTCCATCCAGGTTATAGCGATTTGTACATTTCGCAAGGATGATATTTTTTGGGTGTGGCAAAATAGCTCAGCATACCGAATCAAAAAAATGATATTCATTGTTGGCAACATTCGTTCGAAAATACTTACATTTTAAACATATTGATCTCCATTCATTTTACAGTACATCTTTCGCATGGACTACGCTCGGGAGATTGTGGAACCGTTTAAATTGAAATACAGCAAACTGATCAACGTATGCGTCAACAGACGCCTCGAACGCAATTACCAGCTTTCCCATCGCGGCTACTCGGAGATCGAATATTGCATCAGCAATGACCCGCTGGAGGCACGCAGCGACCTAGGTAATGTCTTTGCATTGAAAGAGAATGTCAAGGTAATGTCAACTTCATTGTCCTGCAAGTTTCAGACTGGCTGACGGTGGTTTTCCTCACTATTGTTGTTACATTGGTGAGTACCGTTGTAGGAGCAAATGCCGTCGAATGGCTCGCGGGGGATAAGCGATTTAAAGGTATGTAGACGCAATTGCGTCGCTTGAATTTGGTATCGAATGTTGCTCAATTACCTATTCTTTCAGATCACATAATCGTATCATCCTTCTCGTTGCGACGAAACTGGAGTCGGTTTATCAGGGAAACTGAATCCGAAGTGTACAAGGAATTTGGCTACATAGACGGTCTACGGGTGTTCATCAACATCTACGTGCTGATCATTCACTGTCTTTTGGTATTCGCTGTACTACCCCTAACAAACCCGGAGGCAGCAGAACAGATGATTCAGAGTCGTTTTATGGTGAACTTTGCCTCGACGGCGCCCCTCTCCGTGCAGACTTTCTTCGTCATCAGTGGATTGCTGCTGATGGTAAACTTTCTAAAGGACATAGAACGTAGACCGCAGTTCAGTGCTGAATACTTCCACACGAAGATCATCAACCGGTGGCTTCGGATACTTCCGGTTTACTATTTCTTTCTGCTGCTAGCCGTGGTGGGTCATGCCATTCCTGGGCTGAGGCTTGGTCCATTGGGATACCTAACGCTGATCACCGAGCGGAACATCTGCCGTGATCGTGCATGGTATAATGTGTTCTTCGTAAACAATCTTCCGTTGACCGATGAGCGGTGCTTTCTTCATGGGTGGTACTTGGGAGCAGATCAGCAACTATTTATGAGTGCATTGGTAGTGTTGGCCGTTATCTGGAAGCATCCCAAGATCACGAAGCCTTTGCTGGTGGCACTACTGGTCACTTCGGTTGCTCTTCCTGCAGGATTGATCTATCAATTCGGACTGGAATCGGTTTTACCTCTCAGATTAAGGTGGGTGTTGGAAACATAGTTGTTTAGAATGGAATAATTCGTATTTTAATCTTTTTCAGTGATTTAAAATTCTTGCTGTCGTATCAAGACTGGTTCAAACACATCTATTCACCCTCATACACGAACGCAAACAGCTTCATCGGTGGAATGATCGTTGGGTATCTCTATCACGAAACGAAACGTGGAAGACTAAATTTAGACGATTCCAAGGTATGAGTAAGAGTTTAGAGATCATATTGCAGTTGTTTTAGAATATTCTCCAATTTTAGCTTTTCAAACTCTTAAGGAAATTGATTTTCCCCATATTGGTGCTAGGACTGCTGTCATCCTCGTTGTTCTACGAGTATGAACATTCCCGCTCATCGTGGTGGATTGTACTCCATTCGGTTCTGTATCGCAACTATGGAGTGATGGCTGGGTGTATGCTCTTCATTCATTGCTTCCGAAATCAACCAGGTAAGTTAAATTACAACTTCTTCTGTTTGTTGGCCAACACTTCTTACAGTCTTTTGAGTCTGATCCACAGTTGTTAATTGAACGCTTTGGATGTTTATAGCTTGGTTGGGGAGATGGGGTTCAAATGCCTACACGGTGAATGAGAACGACCCAAATTTGAGTTTAGTTTGCTCATAATCGCCAGAAATGCAGAAACTCAGCGATAAGTAAATTTGCCTTGTATTTTTCTGTGCAAAAACTCAAAAATCTGCCGGAAAATGAGGAAAATTTACGAATATGTTACTCAGTCTAGTGGTATTACCAATAGACTGAGAGAATCTAATCTTTACTATTCTCATATTCGGGAATTGTTTTCTGGAAAAACCTGGAAAAAACATGAGTCAAATTTGTTCATCGCTGAGTTCCTGCACTTTATGTGATTTATGTGTAAGCTAAACTCAAATTTGGAAGATCTTCGTTTAATCCACAATAGAAAAAACGGAATTTAAGTGAAATTTCATCTAAAAGTTGCCATTGGCAAGACATTACAATTGATGTGCTTAACGAATATTTCAAAATTTGTAAAACTGAAAAAGCCAGCAAAAACCTGCAGCAAAATGCGCATACTGATTTCATGCTACGGAAGCATGCATTTAGGCTTTATCTATGTTCTTCAGGGCAATTCAAATGTTATCTATTTATCACAGGCCAGTGACAAGGCCTATACCAACAGCAGCGTTTGACAGTAGGCAGCATGTCCCGGGCTCAAATCATTTATTTTACTGTGCTGGGCCCGCTGTCACCATATAACATGTTGCCTACGCGCCTGCCACTGGGCTGATTTATCTATTAAACACAGGGGAAATGGCTCTAATACTGGCTTTTGGATCTAAGATTTGGACCATCGCTAAAAATCTGCTACTTATCAATTATCTGGGACCATGCTTGGCATGCACATTTGTACACACGAATTACTCATTTTTTAATAACTTTTTACTCAGTTGTTGAAATTTAGTGTTCTTTAAAGTAATTGATAGATTAGGATCATAGTTTACTGTAGACATGCAAAGAGTAGGTAAATCTTATCATTTGAATCAACAACCATGAATTTTTATACTTAAAGTCCGAGATGTGCAGCGAGCATTTCTCACTTCATTTTTGCAACGCAAAATCAAATACAGTTTATTACTAGAATTATTACTAGAATTATTTCCCGAAAGATGAACGATGTACATGACATCTTGCATCACCTCACGGAGAAAAAATTATAGCAGACGCAATTATTTTTCCGGTCAAAATAACTATATTGTTCAATTATTCTAGAGATAACCCGAAACTATAGTTGATTTGACTGTATATATATATAGAGGGCAACAACTATATTTTACAAGAGATGAACAACAACAACTATGCTTTAGTTGATTCAAGAAAACTATTGTTGGGAAAACAAAATTTTACAATGTTTATTAAACGAACTGCTCTTCATTATCGACATATTTAGGATGTTTGTTTTACTTCTTTATCGATCTCAAAACACAAACACAAATGCAAAATCATAAAAAAGGAAAACAAGAACATTAACTTAGATTTTAACCGTGAGCTCTACGCATCACAAGTTAAAAGTATGTAGATTTATGATGATCAGTTGAATCCAAATTATATAAATAAATTACATTTGACGGTTGTTATAATTGATCAAAGTTATAGTTGAATTGAGTATAAGATGAACAGTTGAATCTATTAGGTAGATATGATTGAGTTGACGGTCAAATTTATGTTGGAATAACTGTAGGTTTCTTTCAAACAACAATATTTTTCCTTGTGAAAGTAACTATTAGGATTGTTATCTTAACTTAAAGAATTTGTTCTCCGTGCCAAATCGTTAATTGTAGCTGTTTCATGAAATAACTGCGTGGTTTTCTGTTTTACAATTTTATATATTTTTTCATTCAAAAGATGTTTGCTTCTTTTCACATAGTACGTTTAAAGGGTGTTTAAAGTGCAACGTATGCCAGCAATTTTTGGCTGAGATATAAGGGGGGGGGACATTTTGTCTGCAATGGGCATTTTACGCCTATTTTCCCTACATGGAGATGATAAACTACCAAAAATTAATATTTTTCCCTCAATTCCGCGGTTCAGCTCAATAACCCAAATTTTTGTAAATCGCTTATATGCTGAGGAAGTTGCGAACGCGGGCGAAAACGGCTATCAATCGCAACCGCCCAGGAAGAAGAACTATTAATAATATGTATTTAAGAATATTTTTTTTAAAGAAGAAATTTACAGACTTAGCTTAGCACTAGTTTACTGGTGCTAATTTTCCATGTAAAATCGTGTGTTGAATACAAAAATGTAGTCAGGAAAAATCTCAGTAGGATAGTTTTCTAGATACAGGCAACTTTCGCTCGTTGGGCTATGTTTAAGTGGGCTACGTTTTAGTTGGGCTCCCGTAAGTTGGGCTGTAGCCAACCTAAATCGAAGTCAAATGTCATTTCTGACAGTGCTGATTCATTTCTGAGGGGCTCATGTATGAACAATTTGGATAGTTGATAAAGGATTGTAATGATAATAAACAATCGGTGTATACCTCAACCAATTTTCAGCTTGACAGCTCAGCCCAACTAACGAAAGCCTTTCACTAGGTGGGCTACGGGCTCAGCTCAACGAGCGAAAGTTGACTGTACAGTTAAAAAAAAAATTGCACTTAAAAAAAGTATGTTTACTAAAATACAAATATCAGCGGCTGTAATAAAGCTATATCAATTGGGTTGTTTAGGGGTATTGAGATAAATAAATACTCGTTATCTGCATTAAAAATGGAACCGATATCCAAAATATCATCAATTTTGGTACACTGGAACTATTTAAAATAAGCACGATTACATTAGCAAAAATCACCATCTTAGCGCCCCTTGGTGGGACTTTGTATGGGAGCGAGCTGTCAACGAATAGATTTAGGGATTTAGTGTCAACGATCACAAATTTAAATTTTGATTTAAAAATCGAGGTGAATGTCTACGGGATCAATAAAAATATCGTTGTGCTGAGAAAACGAAGCTCTATCATATGATGTATAAAAACCGGTATATTGTTCGAAGTTAAACAACCCAATTATTTAAGGTGAGAAAATTTGCTTTCGATCAACTGTACATCATTTTTCAGTTAGATTAGTCCCAAGTAGCATTGCAAGTTTTATCGCGGTTTTTTATTATTATTATTATTTATTTATTTATTTATTATTAGTCCATCTGACTTTAAAGTCTTAATGAAACACTTAAAGCTAAAAGTAGTCATTCATTAAAATTGCCCGACATTAAGCGATTACGAAATCGGGATGAAGTGATTCCAAAATCGAATTGGTCGGATACCACGTTGAATTGACGAACCATGGCGACAAGAGACCTGCTGCATAATTGGTATTGTGCGCTTCCTCGTGTAGCAAAGCTCTCGGGCGGAGTGTACGGACAGGTGCATATACATTAATCTTAGCCAGTAACTCCGGCACATCATATTCAGCAAGCAAAACTTTGGCAACGAAGACAGCCTGCGATGCGTTTCTTCGCTCAACAAGAGTATCCAAGCCCAGCAAACGACAGCGATCAGCATACGGTGGTAGATTAAGCGGGTCGCTCCAAGGAAGATAGTGCAATGCGTATCTGACGAATCTACGTTGGACAGCTTCGAATCGTGCAATCCATACTGCCTGGTAGGGACTCCAGACAACACACGCAAACTTAAGCAATGAGCGCACCAATGAGCAGTAAAGAGCTTTAAAACACAAAGGATCCCGGAATTCGTTTGAGATTTTGAACATGAATCCTAGTTGACGGTTCGCTTTGTCGATTGTGGCTGAGAAGTGGCGAGTGTAAGTAAGCCTTTCATCCAACACAACGCCAAGGTTGGAGTACAGTGTCAGCAACATTATAATCGAACAAAATAACATGTCTAGTTCGGTGGAAGCTAATCATACAACCACAGACAAACAGACGTAACTCTTAGAAAAACTTGTTCTTGAAAACATAGAATCTCAAAACATATAACCTCAGTAACGACATCTCTCTGGCTTCTCGCGGAAAACAAGCTTGCTCGCTAACTCGTAAACAATATTGCAAAGAAGTTCTATAGAATATATAGAAACGTCAAAGTGATCCGATGCCAGCGCTGCGGCGAGTAGTTCGCGGAACTGATAATATTCAAATCAACCGTTAAATGCATGAACGAAGATACACAATGAAGAGTTACGTCTGTTTGTCTGTGATACAACACTTTGAGACGCACAGGAGCATAAAATTATGCACACACCAATGATGAAAGTTGTAATTCTAAGCAATCAGCTTGGTTGCGAACAACAATGTAAATTTTCAGGTCATCCGCAAAAAAACAATTTACCTCCGCTAGGCAAGATAAACGTTGCATCGTTCACAAATAGAGAGAAGAGCAGTGGTCCCAGTATGCTTCCCTGTGGAACTCCGGAACTGTTCGAGAAGCAGTAAGATGAGTAGTTTTCGATGCAGACAGTAACTTGCCGTTGTACGAGGTAAGATCTCAGCCAACTGCAGAAGGGAGCAGAACATCAAATTTTGTCCAGTTTTGCTAGTAGAATGACGTGCACAACTTTATCAAACGCAGCTTTAAGATCTGTGTAGATGGCATCCACATGGAGTTTCTTAGATACATTTTCCATGCAGAAAGACGTAAAGCTGACGAGATTCGTTTCGACGAAGCGGCCAGGAAAGAAGCCATGTTGGCAGGTGCTAATGTAGTTTTTGCAGGAACCAAACAATCTCTCGTTGACCAGCGACTCGAACACTTTAGATTCGACCCCGAGCAAGGTAATCCCAAGGTAGTTTTCCACATTGCATTTGTCTCCTTTCTTGAAAACAGGGAACATAGTAGAGCATTGCCAAAGCGTGGGAAACTTACGCTGATGGAGCGATAGATTAAAAAGCAGGGTCAGCGGGGCGGCTAAAATATAACAGCATTTTTTCAGCACAGCAGATGGCATAACGCTCGGTCCGGGTGAAAAAGAAGATTTAGTTTTCCTTATCACAGAGAGAACTATTTCAACATCCACAGTAAAAACATCCATGTTTACGACATCGGTTGGCACATCGCGGACTGCTAGATTGATTTCAGCTTGCGATGGTGAGTCGTTCGAGAAAACGCTCGAGAAGTGCCTTGCAAAAAGCCTGCATTTATCCTCAGTTGTCAATGCTACGTCGTTGCCCAGAAACACCTTCGACGGGAGACCAGTTTCCTTTCTTTTAGTATTTACGAACGACCAGAATCCCCAAGGATTGCTTCACAGATTGCGTTCAATGCGAATTACATACCGTTGGTAGAGAAGCTTGTTGTAGCGGCGATAAAATTCCGTTTGGTCAAGAAACACCGCCGATGAATAAGGGCACGAAGTGTTCTAGCACGTGCTCTTTTCAGGTTGCGAAGAGTAGCGTTAGTCCATGGCGGTTTTCTAGGAGGTAGGCACTTTGGCACTAAAGCAGAAATACAGTCGCGCAGAAAGCAATTATAGCGATCGACAGCTATGTCGATCTCCAGGTCATTCAACACGTTCCACTCTATCTTGGACAAGGAACGTCGCAACAAACGTAAATCAGTCTTCCGGAAGTTGAAACGATAGACAATCGAAGTTTCATCAAAGTGAAGTTGAGATCTATTTGCGATAGAAATATCCAAAGCAGGATGGAAGTTGTAAAGAGGAACGATGACATCAGGCCTCAGTAACGGTACAGTCAAGAAGTGAATTTTCACTAACGAACACCAAGTCTAGGAAATGAGACTGAAAGATGGGAACTAGATTTATCTGTCCCGATCCATGAAAACCAGTACCGTCCACAAGCAAGCGGCTGGCCGGAGTAGTAACAGATGCTATTGGATCAGGATATGCAAATCCCTGACCTGAGTACGACCAGATAAGTCCAGGCTGATTGAAATCACTGAGCATAAGAATCATGTCTGAATAATTCTAGATAGAGCTGGAATTAGGGCGTAACAGCTTTTGTAAACAATGACTTATCTCGATGATTTCTCAGAAGTCATGGCTCTCCATGGCAAATCGACATCACCATCGAGTAGAGGAAGGCTTCTCCTACCCGATGGATATGTTGATTTGTTTAGTCGTGTCTTGAATTCCGAGAAATCAACAAGAGAAGTCATTGTTTACAAAGGCTGATACGCCCTAATTCCAGATCTATCTAGAATTAGCCATAGAAGAAGCAAATTCTACAGCATCCATATGAAGTTGCATTATGCTACAGTCGAGACGTCGTTCAGGGGAAATGTACACCGCTCCAATAAAAAATGCTCCGTGAAGCGAGGCTAATTTTAACCCAAACAGTCTCAATCGAAGTAAATTGTTCATAGGCGATCTGGCAAGAGGCAAATGCATTGGAAACAGCTACGAGAACACCACCTCCGCGAGTAAGAACACTGTTGGCAAGATCACGGCATAAGGCATTCTACAAGTCTAAATCATGGTCTTCAGAACCCTCACAAAACCAAAATTGTTACTTGGGGTGGTATTGTTGGCACAACCTCTACAAGAAAATTTAACTAGCTTAAAACTTAGCTGAAATCAAATTTTTCTTGGAGATATGCAAAAAAAAAAAAAAAAAAAACAGAATTAAACAAGCTATTAATTTACGGGAAATTAGTTTTATTTAAAGGGTTAAGGATGGCATTATCAATACTAAGATTATTTTTCATTCTTCCATTGCAGGTTCCATCCGAAGGTTTCTAGCCTCCCGGCCGATGACCACCTTGGGTAAACTGTCCTACAGCGTGTACGTACTGCACGTTCCTTTGGTTCGGCTACTGGTCAACTATCTGCCTGGTATGCCTGAATTGTCGGTATATCACATTACGCTCCTGTTGATGGTTCTAGTTGGGCTTTCCTACGCTATGGGAATGGTGGTGTACTTTTGCCTGGAGCAACCGGCTAGTTTAATTCTCAAATATTGGTTCATTGAACGACGCAAGACTAAAGTGGTGTGATGGATTCGGGTTTTAGATGGTTGGTTTAAGTCAAATAAATGTGCAATGTGATCAGATGTTAAAAGGCTATTATTTTTCATCATTCGCTAAACTGAAAACATTTTTACGTTAATTACCATCCACTTGTTTCGTAAAATTTGGTTTCGTAAATAAAACCATTTTCTCGACAATTGTACAAAACATTCGTATTGCATGTCAGCAGATACAACGCATAATTCGTACAATTCATGATCTGATTTCGTAGGTCATGAGAATTGCCGTAAAATAAAATCTAGCGTTCAGAATTATAAGGGCCTAACTGAAGAATCGATCATCGCAGTTAGGCCCTAATGATTCTAAACGCTAGAAATACGATAATCGCTCGTGAACACAACGGAACTATTCGTTCATAGTTTGAATTATAATGATACACAAGAGCGAAGAATTGTGTTTTACATAAAGTCTGGAACGCGCAAAAAATGGTCAACTTCAAATTGGTGTATTTATGTTAAAAATGCATAAAAAAAACTTGAAATGCTGCATTTGGAAGTTGACTGTATATACAATGGTTGCTATGATGAGTTTTCACCGTTTGCTCTCCAGTTTTCAAAATAACGTCCACGCAAGAGGAGCACCGTGTCAAATTTTTGCGCGTGGAGTAAGACAATCCGACATTTTCACACGTCAAGTTGGGAAAATATCTGGATGTGACCAAATCGACCGTGACAAACGTTTAAAAGTGTCCGGGGAGCGTCCGTCGACCGCCAGGAAGCCTGGAAGCGGCGGCAATCGTAATCCGGACGTGGCAGCGACGACGAAGAAGGTGGCGGTGAAATATAAGCGGAATTCTAACCTCTTCAACCGGGACGTCGCTGGTAAGCTCAATGTCTCCCATACTACCATACTACTGTGCAGCGGGCCAAGAAACGAACCGGGTTGTCGACGTTTAGGTGGCAAACCGAGATTTGAAACAAAACACGTCGGCGAAACAGCGGTTCCGAAAGCTGTACATGAATCTGCTCACAAAGTTCGACTGTGTCGTCATGGACGACGAAACTTATGTGAAGGCGGATTTCAAGCAGCTTCCGGGACAGGAGTTTTATACCGCATCAGGAAACGGGAAGGTGGCTGAAATTTTCAAAACCATCAAACTATCGAAGTTCCCGAAAAAATATCTCGTCTGGCAGGCCATATGCACGTGTGGTCTAAAAAGCGGCATTTTCATTACTACGGGAACCATCAATCAAGGGATCTACGCCCAGGAGTGCCTGGAAAAGCGGCAGCTACCAAAGGCAATCGGTGGTACAATGCGAACAACGTGGTTGTGGTACCCAAAGACCACAACCCTCCCAACAGCCCAGAACTCCGCCCTATCGAACGGTATTGGGCCTTGGTAAAACGGAACCTAAAAAAAACTAATAAATCCATGGAAAACGAGCAGCAGTATAAATCTAACTGGCGTTCGGCGGAGAATAAGGTCGATGAGACCACTGTGCAAAATTTGATGGAAGGGGTTAAGCAGAAGGCACGGCTGTTCCGATTTGGTAAGCCAAAAGAATAAACGAACATTTTTTCCTTTAAATATATGAATTGAACTACCAAAAGAAAAATAAGAAGATTTTTGTGATATGACAGAATGATTTGACAGAAATAAAAGATTTTTTTGTCGACCAATTTTTGCGCGTTCCAGTCTTTATGCGAATACGTACTAAATGCGTGTATAGGGGAAAACAGCCCAAAATGCACCCCGGGGCAAAACGCCCGATGTGATTTTTCATAACATTCCTGTTTTGACGTAGGACTACGTCTGTGATTTCATATATGGGGATACACTTTTGAAAACCAAAAATGGAACATGTAACAAAATTATGAAAGTATTTGAACGTTAATAGCTCAGCTGCTCCTGGACCCATTTCAATCATTTTATCACTTATCGATCAGAAATAATTCAACGCATCTCTTTGAGACTTAATTATTTTTTCAAAATATCACTATTGAAAAATTGAACGAATGTGCAACCATTGCTATGATAATTAAAATTATCACCGATTGCCTGTGCAAAGTGATTTCCCTAGCACAGATTTCAAATTTGAATTACATCTGTTCTCACTGAACGGTGTTTATTCAAGCAGCAAGCTATCAAGGCTGCCCTTAACCGCTGATCGGATCGAGGGGGACGACTCTATCTACGATGCAGGAAAGATTGGGTTTTGCTGTGGCTAGCTGCGCGCACGCTGAGTAGATAAAAAGAAGATTGACGTCGATTCTGAAGATGTCCTGCAAAAAGATGATGCGCGATGCAAGTAGATGCGAGAAATGAAAGAAGATTTTTCGAAGATTGATTCGCTAGTGGAAGATTTGTTGAGCATCTAGACTTGAGATTTAGATGTGTCGCCCCCCTCGGATCGGATTCTATTCTAATCACCGTGTGTGGTGGTGTCCGGTCGTCGGCATCAGCAGCTGTAGTGCTTTCGGCGCGTGGCGTTGAACATTGTTCTCCAGTACACAACGAAAGGCTGCCTGCAAGCAGCGAGCTGCAGCCCACATGACCATCCATAGAAGGAGGAAGAAGCCGCTTAGTTATTGATCGGAATCAGTAGCTCTTCGTGAGTCGCTGTGGGCCATGTCAAGCGCGTCATACTACAGAGTATAAACAGAGAGAACCCCGCACAAATTCTGATTCCTACACAAAACACAAGCTCCTGCTGCAGTTAACACATAAGATTTATTATATAAGATCACGCAGTCTTATGTCACCATTGCGAAAACCCCATAGGACTGTCCCTTGTAGTTTTTAATTCATAAATTTCACAAGCCGCAGGTTAGGTCAGTACTTAAACTAGCATTTCGGCACAAAAAATCCCAGAATCAAGAAAGGAATAGCTACATGTAAAACCAAATCGGGCGTTTTACCCCGAGTGCATTTGTCCCCTGTCAGACACAGTTGCATCAAAGCAGCAATTTCCAATCACACTTACTCCAGGTTACTCACCGGGTGAGTCGATCGTACTTAATTTCGTCTGATGCATTAGGTTGTCAAAATCTGAGTAAACGAGTAATGTCAAACTGAGTAAAAGCCACTCAGTCAGCCAAATCCGGGACTTTGGCTGTGCTTCATTTAGTGAATTTTAACTTAAATTTGACACTCCAAAAATAAATTAAAATGCTCGAAAATCCCTCTGTTGTTGATCGTCCGATTTTCGAAAAGATATTTGTCAAAATTGATTCCTTGTCTGTCAGAAATAAGTCTGGTAAAATAGTGAGAATAGCAGGTATATTTCAAAAGTTTCCATCTGTCAAATTTGTCCAAATGCCTTAGGAAAAAAGCCAGCCGTGTCAGAGCCAGGGCTGGCAAATGTCATTTACAATGAAAGGTCACACAGAGATACTTCTGTCACTATCATCGGATGAGAAAACGATGATAGAGATTTTCTTTAAAATCTTATCGATGTTTTTGTCATGACAGAACGTGACAGTATTGGGAATATAATAATTACTAGTCCATTTATTGATTTTATGGTTGCTTGTACCTCGGAAATCTTGAAAATATGTTCACTCTACCAATTACACATTGTTGTTTGCTCAAAATCCTCTAAATAAGTAAGAATTTTTTATTCAAAAACCGTGAGAATTATTCTCACGAGTGTTTGATCATTGGACGGTGACAAGAAAGCTCATGATAGGTAGCTTCGTCTCGTGCTAGTGAGAAAACCTGTTTTCTCATGGTCACATGACGACCGTGATATTTACCAGCACTGGTCAGAGCAAACGGCGAAATTATTGTAAAACACTGGCCGAAATGTATTAAGGTAAGTAGCAATTGCATGCGGAGACGGTTTTCAGTCGTCTTCAGCTCCAGTTAATAAAACTGGAGTAGGTAATTTTCATTTTTTATCAAAACAAATAAAAAAAAAACAAACTTCCCGGCTGAAAATATTTCAGAGTGTTTTTGACTCACTTTGCGCGAGAACGTCGTTTACTCAAAAGTGAGTAAAAGTGCACCTACTCGTCCGAGAGGGGCGACACATCTAAATCTCAATTCTAGATCCTCAAAAAATCTCACTCTAGCGAATAAATCTTCGAAAAATCTTCTTTCATTTCTCGCATCTACTTGCATCGCGCATCATCTTTTTGCATGAAATCTTCAATATCGTGATAAATCTTCTTTCTAACTACTCAGCGTACGCGCAGCTAGCCACAGCAAACCACAATATTTCCTGCATCGTAGATACACACTTAGAAATAACTAGTTTTACACGTGACGGAATCCGTCTTTGACATAAAAGTTGAGACGTAAACAAACATGTCATGTAATATTAAGTGCTCCGAAACTGAAAATTTCGTTGATCGACGAAAAGTACGTTTGATTGAGCTATATTTCGTGTCTGTTAAGACTCAAATTTATGTTTCAATTGCCGCTCGCATATGTCACTCTCAAAGCACCTATATTTACATGATTTTTTCTAAGTGTGTAGAGTCGTCCCCCTTGTACTCGCCGAAGATTCCTATCATATGCTAACTGCATCCTTAGAGCATACGAAAAACTGCAGAATTTCGGCTGTGGTTCTGACAAGTGTTACGACTCGCATGCATTGGCTTAAAACGCCAGCCGATTGATGATTCTAATTTGATAAGTACCCGGGAAAACCCGGGAATTCGAAGAAAGAACCGGGAAAAATAAATTTACCATACACACTTAGAAAATTTTTTCTGAGGCATAAAAATTTCTGGTCACGTCTTCCTTCGGAAGGCAAGTAAAGCCGTTGGTCCCGGCCCATGTGTGTTGAATGGGTGCGATATCCTACGCAGGTGTGGAAGCTGCCTTCCTGCACATTCGATTGCCGTCAATGGATGGCAATCGATGTCCGTCGGTGATTGGCACTACATTGCGGAACAGAGACCGACGTTAAATAAAGGAATGAAGAAGAAGAAGACTTAGAAAAATTCATGTAAATTTAGGTGCTCTGAGACTGACATATACGAGTGTCAATTTTGACATAAAATTGAGTCATAATAGACGCGAAATTCAGCTCAACCAAACGTACTCTCGAACTT